CCGGGCATTCCCTCAACTCTCGCTCAATCAGCCTGAGGCTATCGTCGACAGAACCCAGACTGGCTTTCACGTCATTGACACGGTCGCGGAGATCAAAGCCAACATCCTGCTCAACGCCCGATGCAACGCCAAGCTTGATCGAATGAATGGATATCCCTACACTCGAACTTGCTGCACAGATTATCCCTCGCAATCATGGGTCCAAATTGCCATTCTCGGCCTCACTGCTATCTACGTCATTGCATGCATCTGCTACGAGGGCGTCACCCTCGTCTCGTCCATCGAGATCAAGTGGCTCGATATGAAGGTTGGCATGTTTGCTGTCTCTCTTCTCTACTGTTTCGCTGCCGACCGTACCCATCTGTTTTCCAAGGGCATGAAGGAGTTTATTCCAAATGAGTTCTACCTCCTCATTGCAATCTGCCTCATCATTGCCGGACTCACCATCCGCAAGACAAAGTTCCGTGCACCTCGGCTTCCAGTTGCTGAGGCTGCCGCCGCCCCTGCCACTACCACCGTTACAATTGATGAGGATGCTGGCGTCCTCTCAAGAGATCAGACTGAAGAGTGGAAGGGTTGGATGCAGGCTGCCATTCTTGTTTACCATTGGACTGGTGCGATTCGCAATCTTCCCATCTATATCTTCATCCGATTGCTTGTCGCTGCCTACCTCTTCCAGACTGGATACGGACATACCATCTACTTCCTCTCCAAGAAGGACTTTTCATTCCGCCGCATTGCAAGTGTCATGCTGCGCTTGAACATGCTGAGCTGTGCCCTTCCTTACGTCATGGGAACTGACTACATGTTTTACTACTTTGCGCCTCTTGTCAGCTTCTGGTTCATGGTCGTGTATGCCACTATGGCCATCTGCTCCGGCTTCAACGATAGTGTCAAGATCGTCACGAGCAAGATCTTTGCCTCCTTCATCATCGTCACAGTCATTCTCAACTTCACCCCTCTCACCCAATGGGCTTTCGCAATCCTCGATGTCGTCTTCCGCATTAAATGGAACATTGACGAGTGGATGTTCAGAGTCACCCTTGATGGAGCCATTGTGTTCGTCGGCATGCTTGCTGGTGTCGCGCAACAGCGACTCGAGCGTGATTCTGCTTGGTACACCAATTTCAAAGCTGCCATCATTCCTTCAGCCCTCTCAATCCTTGGCTATGCTTACCTCTGCACATACACTGGCGACAGAAAGGTCTATATCATGATGCACCCGGTCATTGCGGCAGTGCCTATTCTTGCCTTCATCGCTCTTCGAAACGCTACTGTTACTATGAGGAACTACTACTCTACTGCCGCGGCGTGGCTCGGTCGATGCTCTCTCGAGACATTCATCCTGCAGTTCCACGTCTTCCTGGCCGCTGACACCAAGGGTGTCCTTCTCTTGGATATCTTCAAGGGCGATGCCAGTCTCCTCAATGATCGCTGGCGAGATCTCGCAGTCATTGTCCCAGTCTTCTTCTGGGTCAGCCACCTTGTTGCCGAAGCATCCGGCAAGATTGTCAAGCTCATTCTCGGCGAGGCTAAGCCAAAGCAAGGCATCCCCGAGATTGTGGAAGATGATGAAGAGAGTGGCGAGCTGAAGATTGTCGAGCCTGTATGGGAGAACATGCCCATGCTCAACAACGTCCACTTGGACCGCGCAAAGGACTTTGCCAAGTCTGTTACGACTGGCCTTCACATGCGCGTTGCAGGCATCCTTGGAGTGATGTGGCTGCTCAACTGGGTAAGTTAGCTTCCGTGGCTGAGTTAAAGGGGTAATGCTAACAGATTGCAGTTGTACTAAAGCGCTAAGGCGTTCATTCATGGCTCTTAGAGGGCGTTTTCTGTTTCGGTTTGTTTGGTGATTAGGTGTACATGGGTCCTGTAGACTTGAATATAGAAATTGAGACTCGATATCTTACGATCATACTTATCACGGCATTTGCTGCCTTCAATCTGCAGTGTAGCTTTTGCTTTCTTCCATCGGCCATTGCTTCTTCTGTGTACATTACTTGCCGCTGGTCATATCTTCCTTCTGGGCTTATAGCACTATAGCAAAAGACACCTCCCTCTCGATACCTTATGTACCCCCTCGGCCACGCAAATCCCAAACCTTAGCGTCATCACAGCAAAACGGTCTCTTCCTCCCTCATCCCAGCCCACTTCCAACAAGCATTCCACAACAGCTCCCTCCTATGGACGTCCTTACAGGCAATGTCCTCTTCCTCCCGTCTGGCCCCCATGAAATACCCTTTTGTGCCCTTGAATCTCTCCCCAACGCTCAACTCGACCAATTCTCGACCTGATTGCGCTGCTGGCCGCATAGTATCTGTGAAGTGGCGCAGTACAGGGAGTGATATCAGTACCAGACTAAAGGCAAGGCGCATAAACGGCGTCTGGATCCTGTGCGCACGGGAATCGACCATGCCTCCTGGATCCATTGCTATAACGGTGATACCAGAGAGTTTGGGATTCTAATCTGTCAGTTTGAGGATTTTGAGGTAGTGACTATTGCTTACCTTCTCAAGCCTGACGTTGAGGTCATGCATGAACATGATATTCGCCAACTTCGAGTTTCCGTACCGATGGAATCCTCCATCATACTCTTTCCCCTTCTTATCCGGCTTCTGCTTGACTAAAAGCTCAGTATCTTCTGGAATACCAGGTCGTTGCTTAAAAAGTGGGTGTGAACGAGTTGTATAGTGTGTATCCGAACCAAGCATCACGATCCTCCCATCACTCGCCATACTTCCAATCAACTTTAGCACCAGAACAAAATGAGATAAATGGTTGACCTGGAACGTCCTCTCGAAGCCATCGGGAGTGTAAACCTGCTCTGTTACAGACATGGTGAAAGCATTGCAGATGATAGCTTTTATAGGAGGTATCTCGCCAGAAGCTACTCTCTTTGCTGTATTTTCGGAGAAGGCTCGTACGTTTGAGAGAAGAGAGAGGTCGAGAGCTTCGATGGAGGATTTGGGGTGCGAGGAGAGGATGGAGGAAAGTTGGGCGGTGTTGGGGTCGGAGGGAGATGCATTGCGGACTGTTGCGAGGATGGTGTATGATGGCTGGGTTTTTATGAGATGTGCTACATAGGCAAGGGCGAGAGAGCCATTAGCACCGGTTACAATGATGGTTCCCGTCATGTTAATGGTGTAAGTCGTGAGCTGTTGGAGTGACTTCGGAAGGCCAGTTACTCTTTTAACGAACTTTTGATGATAAAACTGGATAGAAAGCATCACCATAATTACAGGCACCTCTTGTCTTATTTATAAAAATACAATTCTATGACTTTTCTGGGGCGAGTTGCAATTTCATCAGGGAATCCTTTCGCTTGACGGAGTTGGCTGGAGTTCCGGGTAGGTCGGAGTTCCGCGGAACTCCCAGGTGTTCACGCTCCGGGACAGCTCAGTCTGTAGTCTATATCAGTTAGTCGGCGAGTCAATAATACCCAGGATTAAATTCATCAATCCTCTAATACTATGATACTAAATCTTCCAAAGACCAGCTCAGTCTTCCAAGCTTCGAACAGGTGAGGACCGTTGGGTTCGTAAGCCAGTGGCGTTTCATAGAAGCCACCTTAACATTAAGGTTATGTTTGGCATACTCCATGCTTACCTACCCTTGAGAACTCCAGGAATTTTATATCAGCATTCCCTGAGTCCATAGCTGGGCCACGATGTCGTGGTTCAGCTTCAATAGCGTCACATTCTTCACTGGCCAATGACCTCATTATTATCAATATGATCCACATCGCGAGTCTCCAAAAGCCGACGCCCATAGCCGCCCGATGACTGATGACAAATCCCATAACCGACATCACATTTAACTTGATACGTAGTCCCAAACACTAGGGGCTTTGAAACAACTTCGGGGCAACTCGACATGGCGGATCGAATTCGATATAGCAAGTCTCAACTCGAGAAGTATTACGATCGGATTGCCTTCCCGGCATCTGATCGCCAGTACAATATCAGCAACCTCACAGCTGAAGATCAACGGTCCTACCTCGACGCTTTGACAAAACAGCAGATCCTCACAGTTCCCTTTGAGAACCTTACTCTTCACTACTCATGGCATCGCACCGTCGACGTGAACGCTGATCATCTTTACGATAAGATCGTGTATGAGAGGCGAGGCGGTTACTGCATGGAGAATAACACTTTTTTCAACACAGTTCTTCTCTCGTTAGGTTATCATACCTATATGGTCGGATCAAGGGTCTTTAACCCTGATGCTGGGAGATTTGGGGGCACTTCGCATTGTCTTAGCTTGGTGATTATTGATGGGAAGACATTTGCCGTTGATGTTGGCTTTGGGGGACGGAATCCGACTGAACCGTTGGAAGTTGAGCATGACCGTGTTCATACGGGATCAAGTGGTTTTCAAATGCGATTGCGGCATGATGTTATTGCACAAAATGTCAGCAATCAAAAGCTCTGGATATACGAATATCGATCCCGCGATGGAGGCGAGTGGGTTCCTCAATGGTGCTTCATGGACTTTGAGGTCCTACCAGAAGATATCCGAGTCTTCAACATGTCTCCATCCAAAAGCCCTTCAAGTTTCTTCACTTTCAAAGTTGTCAGCGTGCAGTTCACTTCTGAGAAGGAGGATTATTCAGACGGAAGCGCGAGGGACTTGAAAAATGTGGGTGGTGCCATTGATGGAGCCTTTATTATCGATGGGAATTTGTTCAAGTATAGAAAGGGTGGAGAGACTAAGTGGGAAAGGAGCTTCAAGACGGAAGAGGAGAGGCTAGAAGCTTTGAGGAAGTATTATGGTGTAGAGTTGACCAAAGAGAACGAGAGGGCTATCAGCGGAACAGCTGGCGCTATACAATACTATAGAACTGGATCATAGCCGTTGGTATTAGAGTATATGCTTATCTCTCTTGCATAAAAATGCCTGCCCGATACGCTTTAGGATACAAGCCATGATGAAATATTACATTTCAACTGAACGAAATTACACCATAGATCGAAAACGTATGATGGCCAGTTCATTCATCACTGAAACTCAATATCATCCAAAAGCGCCCATGCGGTCGAGGGACTCATCTGAAAATCCTCTTGATAGGACATATCCCCCTTCCCCAACATAGTGCGGTAAACCTGCCCCTTCGCCCTTCGATCCAACTGATGAGAAATAGATAGTATCGTGTCAAACGGCTCTTTCGGCAGATATTTCATCACACCATCAAAAACTCCAAAACAGCTATCCAAAAGCTTTCGATCCTGGGTCACAAGATCATGGTCTGGAAACTCAATCATGTTAACTATAATGAGAATCAGGCATGGGAGTGCGGTGCATGTATGAAGCCTATCACTCTTGTCAGTGCTGGCAGTATAAATGGGTTAAGAACTTACCATAGAATATACTCTGTCAATTTTGCCGAACTGATTAATTCCAGACACACTCGAGCATTACCAACACATTCGCCCCATCCTGCTGGTAGAGGTGTAAGGTCCGCTCTTTTAACCTCACCATCAATGTCGTCGCTGATATCTATCACCGCAGGTGAAAGATACCGCCTCACTCTGTTGATCCATGTATCTTCAAACGTAAATATCGAGTGGATTTTTATCCGGGTCTCAATATGACGAGACCATAGGTTCGTCATCATAACCCTCGCTAATGGGGATAACGTCTTGTTGATACCCTCTGTGGTATGAAGCACTGGGGGTATTTCCTCCACCCATTCTTTAAGCAATTCTTCTATCAGAGCAATTGATCTAGCTTTACTTTCTGGTGTGAGGGTATGAGACTTTTGGCTGTAGAGAAGATCATGGGCTTTTCCTTGGATGAATGCAAACTTGGCGCATGAACGGAGGTAATTGAACTGAATGGTGTCGGTTGATGAGGTGATGATACCAAGATCTTCTTCAGGGTTCGCTTCTGGTAGGTCCATGTCTGTTTCACAGTCGGCCTGTTGATACGGGCATTGAGACCTTTGCGCCATTTCCTGTCATTTGTTAGTATCAGGAGTGTAGTTGACGAGTTCAACGTACCCTGTCATAGATGTATGTAAGCCAGAACAAACGAGTCCTATGCGCCTGTTCCGATTTCGACAGTCCTGTCAATACTTTCTTGGAGTTCAACCGTAGACTTTGCGCAAGCCGAATGACACTCCCAGTTAGAACAATAGCGAGCTGGACTTCTGAGGAACCTTGGAACAGGATCACCATGCCCAGAAGCACTTGCAGGCCCATCAAATCTTGGCCTTGCATCATTAACTCTGACATGGTAGAGCGTGCATTGCGAATAGTTTGGGAAAACGCAGGGTCGTCCACTGTCTTTCCCTCAAGGATGCGATAGTTGATAGCCAGGACGACATTTATAGCAGCCCATGCGACCGTAGAGCGCTTGGTGGACGAAGAGTACCAATCAAGAAGCATACGCATAAATGCATTCTCTTCGAATAGTGGGATTATAGTGTTGTAATTGCGGAAATAGTTGTCTACAAGTGGGAGGACTTCTGATAGAGGAGCGAGCTCGAGCTGATCTGAGCTCGCAGCCTTGGTCAATTGAGAGCCCGCATTTGAGAAGGTAGTATGTTGGCATTGAGCTAGGTCCAATGGTGTCTGAATTGGCGAAATACCCCAACTATTTGAAGACCCAGAGACATCGATATCGCTGAGAGGAATGTCGAGTCCTGGCTGTGTTTGCGATGCTCCAAGGGTTCGCCCCCCAAGCGCTGTCAAGAGAGCCTCAATGTTAGCTAAGCGCTCTTCGAGAGCGGTCATACGGTCGGGTCTTTGCCATCATTAACAACAATCGAAGGACAATTGATTGCAGGTACCTACTGGACCTCAGATTGGCTTGGGGGCGCCGGAGTGATTCCGCCATTCCGAGTCGCCTTTCTTCGACTTGTTACTGTCGTCTTGCAGGTAACCGCATATAGACTGCAATTAGAGCATGTCGGTTTGCGCCCGTCGCACTTAATTTTCCGCGACACGCAGTAATCGCACGCTACAGAATGTCATTAATCCAACTTAATATGATATCTTGACGTATCTCACCTTTTCGTCTACTTGATTGCGCTGTCTCCATATCGATGCTCAATTGAACAGATCTCAATTGATTGAAACCTCCATTGTCACTCAGATTGTCGGATATGGCGTAGCGGAAAGCCCGCCAAACTCCGCCGCATTAACAGGGGCTTTCGGGGGTTCTAGGGTGTCTTGACATGGGCTTAAACCTTGACAATCTCCTGAAAATCGCCCCTTATCGTGGCGAAATGTGAGGATATCTATGATGCTACATGCCCAATTTCATGTTTGCGCTAGAGAATAGTTGATATCTGATTTATCCTGTTATCTCAGTGTTTCACGGTCTTGTCTGCTTCACATTCTGAGACTCCAGTGGCGGAACACGGACTTGGCGTCTGGCGGAAGATAATTTAAACGCCCCGGAGGCGACAAGTGCGGGGATTGAATCATGGATCTCACTCAGACTGTGCCTCTCTCAACAAATCCCCCTTCAATCTCCAGTTTAACAAACAAACTCCATTTTATTGCGCCCCAAGCGCGAAAGCCAAGTGCTCTAGCTTGTCTAGTTTCTTTCTAATCGCGTACGTCGCGTGTCGTGTCTAACTTGATCTATCGTTTATGTCTATCACAATTGTCTATCATAACCTAGCGATTTGCCTCAGACCAATACGAGTACCAGACCCGGAGCTCTAGTCCTTGTTCCATCGCATAGCGCCAGGTCTGGCAGGGTCGTGCTCCACGTACTTGAGTGTGCCGAAGATGGTCCACAGCTGGCCCAGGAAGCTTCGGTCGTCGTGGCAGTAGTGGTCGCCGATAACGGGCTTGATGGCCTCGGTGGCCTCGTCAGCCTTGTAGAAGGGGATCTTACTGCGAGGTGTTAGATGTGAATTGGTGCCATCGAGACAGGTGACTTACGGGAAGAGATGGTGAACAACGTGCTTCTCAATGATACCGTGGAAGAGGTGCTTTCCAATGAAGCCAAACTCACGGTCGACAGTGGCGAGAGCTCCCTTGACGTAGGTCCAGCCCTCAGCGGTGTAGTGAGGGAGCTCGGTGTGGTGGTGGTGGAGGTAGGTAATGGCAACTAATCAATTAGCGACAAGTCGATCGATGCGATTGATCTTGAACTTACCGAGCCAGTGGTGAACCCACAGGTAGGGAACAAGGTAGAGGAAGAGAATGGTCGAAACACCAACTTGCTTGGAAGCAAAGTACAGAGCAGTTCCCATAAGAGCGAGACCGATATCGGAGATGAGGATGAAGATGGCCTCGTTGGGACGGAAAACAGCGCTGGTAGGCTCGAAGTGGCTGACTCGGAACCACTTGGAAAGGCCAGTCTTGGGCTCCCACTGCTTGCTGCCCTTGCCGGAGCTAGCGTTGAAGAAGAGATACGCCTGCCATCCGAAAAGCTGGTGGAAGATGAGCTTGACCATCTGAGCTGCGGGGGTGTCCTCAACGAGCTCAGCGACGTCAATGCCAGCAATCATGAGCGACTTGGAAGGCTTGGGCTCAGTCTTGGGGACGAAAGCCATGTCGAGATCCATGTGGCCGGTGAAGCGGTGGTGGCGGTGGTGAGAGTACTTCCAGCTGAAGTAGGGGACGAGGAGGAACGAGTGGAGGAACCAGCCGGTCACGTTGTTGACCTTTCCGTGGAGAGAGAAAGCACCGTGGCCGCACTCATGGCCGAGAATCCAGACACCGGTACAGAAGAGACCCTGGACGAAGCCGTAGACCATCCATGCTGCGACGCGGAGGGTCTGGTCGGGAATGCTGGGGATGTAGGTGAGAGCTGCCCAGACGAGGGCAGAGACCATGGCAAAGTCGCGGAAGACGTAGTAGAATGAGGTGACGAGCGAGGGCTGGAAGCAGTGGGCGGGGATGGCATCCTTGATGGTCTTGATATCGGGGAACTGAGGTTCAGACTTGGCCTCAAGAGTGACCTGAGCACGAGTTAGGAGTGCGACGAGGGGAGCTTCGTGACCGACTTACCTTGGGGAGGTCCTCGACCACAACAGTGGTGGCAGTTCGCTGTCGAGTCGCCATTGTACTAACGAATGCAGAAGATGCAATTGTCAAGCAAGATTCACTCGAGAGGAAGAGGAAGAAAGTTTAAAGAGGACGAGAGAAAGAGGAGAGGCGGGGGGTGACGGGTCGAAGAAAAAGGTTCCCGCCCCAACAAAGCTCTTATTATTTATTCCTACCTAGCTAAGGTGCCGACCGATACCATGCCAGACCAGACCTCGTCTCAGGATTACGGCTCTTGACCTAATCCGAAATAGCATACGAAAAAAAAACTTCTGAGAATTTAGAGAGACCGCCAAAACTTCAGGGACCCATGAATAGGGGTCCAGAACTTGGACTCGTGGCAGGCCAATCACGGCCCCACGATGTGCGGGAGATCATGGAGAGTTGAGGGAGACGTGTTCACGATGTGGAGCAACGAAAAAGGACCCTTAAGCTGTGAGTGAGCTTAGCACAGAGGTTAACCGAGTGGGTTCTTTTGTTGCAAGGGAGCCTTGCTGCTGCTGTACAGTGCTAGAATTTTGTTGAGAGCTCTTCAATTGCGGTGAGAGAGAGGAAAATACGCCGTGGAGATCGCCTCTTGCTGATACGAAAGGCTAAAAGGCAGGGCAGAGCAGAGAGAAGAGGCAATTTCGACAAGAGAAGATCTAATCTCACATGCTTGTCTTGGGTTCCTGACGAAGAAGAGTGGAGCACCCAAACCAAACTCGCAGATAAGGGTCTGACCTTTCGTGAGTGGCTGAATGGTCACGTTATTTAGAGCGCCGCAAAGAAGACTTCTGGAACAAGAGTTGTTCCGCTAGATAAAATTGAGAGGTTTTTTTTTTCCTTTCTCTCTTTTGTGGTGCCGCTGATTGAGTCGCGTAGGGACGGACCAAGGGAGCTTTTGTGGACTGGGGCCAAGGTTAAGCGCCTCTTCTTGAGTCAAGCATGTTCGAGTCAAGGTTTCACATGTTGACACTGATTCAATGCTTCATGCGTGAGGCTCTAACGCTCAGTCGAAGGCAATTGAGAGACGCGGCAAGACAACGCGACCGAGGTCATAAAAGACGATAATAGCGACCGGCAATTTTAGGATAAATGGCACCTTGGAAGATAAACCTTGCGGAAATTGACGATGAACCCGTGAGACTTTTGCTTTAACTTCCCGACTCATGAGGCCTTTGATTGGTTTTCTGAAATCCCAGCTCAGAGACCTCAAACTCTCTTACCTCAGCTTTCATCATCGTCTTGCATGCATTAAACGCTTTGTTTAGGCGTCAAATGGCCTTGCGAGGCCTTTATCATGCCTGGTATTTTTAGCTCTACATTTCCCAATCTCACTCGTAACGGGTATCGCTCCCCGAGGTTCATGTGATAATTGATGCCATTCTATTATTCGTATGCCGCTTAAGGGCTGATCTCTATCTTTATATTTAATGCGATGCGTGCACTATGTACTATACCATGTAGAAAAATCCAGTCCAGTAACAAACAATGAGTACCCTTGCCAATTGGTCTTTGCGCCTGTTCATCTCATCCACGAAACCATGGGCTCCCTCCCTCGTATGTATCAACCCCTCATACATTATCGTAACAGTTCATTTCGTTATTATGCCCCATCTCATTTCTAGAAAATGAATGAGCACACAAAGACCAGGCATGTATAAATAGTAGTAGTCGTGTATTCCAACTCGAACCACGCAGCCTGACCGCCAAAAGCAATCTTCTTGCTCTGGGGAGTGGGATGCGCCACCTGCGTCTTTGGATCTCGGTTCAGCAGGTCCTCGCGGTCGGGCATGACCGGCGGGTCAATTGCGTAGGAGACCGGTGTCCAGAGCGAACTGCAGATGAAGAGGAAAGTGAGAGGTGGCCAGAATGCGTGGGTGAGAAGGGCGGTGAGTGTGTCGCGAACGGTGTGAGTCGTGACGAATGATCGGAACGATGTGAGGACCACAGCGACGAGGGTCAGATACACAAAGGCGAGGTGGAAAAGAGCCATGTAGTTGATGAGAATGCCCCAGAGACGTCGGAACATGTTCTTTCGGAGCTTGGCGTCACGCTCGTTGAGGGCCGAGCCGAGCGATCCTGTGGGCTTGAATGCTTGAGTTTGACCGCCGAGCCATGTTGGCAGAATGAATGATCGGATAAGGCAGAGCGCGATGTAGGGAGACATCCAGAGCTGGTATCGCGAACCTCGCTGACCGGTGTGATAACCTGCGGGAATGAAGAGAGCAAACTCGCAGAGACGGTTGGAGATGACGGATGCGAAACACGCGCGGATCAACCATCGGAGCTGCTCATCGGTAGCATAGGCCACAAGCGGCTTTTGCATGATCAGGATAATCGGAATGGCGAAGAGCGAAATGGTGAGCAGAATGGTGTACATGCTCAATGAGGCGTACAAGAATCCAGAGAATCGCTGAGCGGTGGTCATCTGGCGAACCTTGTCGCCCCAGAGACAAAAGTTCAGCTTGAAAGAGGTATCGACTGTTCCGATAGCCCATCGCGTTCGCTGCTTAAGATGACCGCCATAGTCTTCAGGAACAGTACCAAATTGCAGAGGCTCATGGATGAAAGCCGTCTTCCAGCCCTTACCAAGCATGAGAGTCGATGTAGCGACATCCTCGGCTAGAGATCCAAGAGGGAAGTTACCAATCTCGTCCAGAGCTTCACGACGAGCGACGTAGCCTGATCCAGTGCACCAAGCGACACCTAGAGCGTCCTTGATGGGCTCGATGACGTGGACGAAG